CGCCGACAGCCCCCGTCCCGACAAAACCACGGCTCCCGCTCGATGCTTCATCCTTTCTTACTCAAGGCGGTGTTCTTCCTCGCCGCCGAAAGCCGCCGTCCCAACAAAACCAGCGTTCCCGCTCGAGACTTCGTTTTGTTTTACGCTGGACTAGCGCCCTACTCTCTTCAGCATTGGCGCCGCTCCCAGCAACAACAGCAGCCCTGCTCGAGACTTCCTCCATTTCTGTTCAGGGCCATGTCCTTGCCTCACCGCCGACAGCCCCCATCCCCACCAAGGCAATCCTGTCGTTCCATACTTCCTTGTGCTTTACCCTTCGCTGGCCTTCCACTGGCGGTCTCGCATCGTCGCAGCAAGGCGCGGGCATGTGTTTTCGAGGCGGGATATGTTGAAATTCCTCGTAGAAGGTGTTTGCAAGACCTCGTTTGGCAGGAGATCTGGGAATGGGAATAACAGACCCCGCTCTAGAACAAGAGTCCCCCATGATGTGGACGGTCATCATGATGGTCGCATGCTTCGTGTGGAAACGTCGCGCTTGAGGGTAAACTGATTGTTGTTTTTGTTGTTGAATTCCGCAGACTAATTATTGTTGCCCCCACCCTCCGGTAACCATTCTATTTTTCAGTTTACATGCTCCTCCTGGGGCTCGCACCCTGTTCCGTACAATGGACAGCTGGCTTTCACCGAACTGGGCCCCTGGCCCCCGACAGACCACAGCAACGACTGCTCCCGCATGATGCTTCCTCAAAATGTATTCCCATATCGTGCTCTCGCGTGGGACATCCCCAGACATGATGGCGTCGTAAAAAAATCAGGACGGGAGGTTTTTCGCTATGTTCGGCCCCGGGGGGCCCTCGCCGGGCCTCGGGACCGTAAAAAAACGAGTCAGGACGAAAAACTGGCCCCGGGGAAAGGGTCTTGACTTCCAGGGACGCCGTCCTGAAAAAATCAGGACGTCGCATGTCTGGGTCCTCACACTTCGTACACAAATCGCACTCTCGCGTGGGCTTCCCTCGCAATCTGTTCAGACGCCGCGCCCTCGACACTCAGGAGTGGCGTTCTCGCGTTGGATTTCCTTCGGATCTACTTGGGAATCGCGCTATCGCCCAAGACTATCTCGCGATTCATGCGTGACGCACTTTTCAGCAACCCGCCTTCTGGACCTGGTCGCCTGGGCCCGCTTTCCCGACCCGCCCGTCAAGGTCTACCCGCCCGTTCTACCCGTCTATTTCTGCCATGTGTTTTCTGCTCCTAGCCCCCCTCCTGCTACTCACTCTCGTGCTCCATCCTCCTCCCTCCCCCTTTTCACTTCCTTTCATCCGTTCTCCTTTCCCCTGCATTAAGTGCTGCACGCAATACACGTTACAGGCACGATTATATATATATGTATATATATATATATATATAGATATTTGCCCCCACAAGGGGGTACGATCGAAGACGAAGAGGGCGGGCATCGAGGGTCCGGGATATGCGTTTTGAATGGCACGCGAGGAAACGTCGATTTGTCTTAACGTGATGGTTGTTGTTGTTGTTGTTGTTGTTGTTGTTATTGTTGTTGTTATTGTTGTTGTTGTTATTGATGTTGTAAGTGCTGCTGTTGTCGTGCCTGTTGTTGCTGCTGTTTTTGTTTTTGTTGTTGTTGTTGTTGTAGTTGTTCTGGTTGTTATTGTTGTTGTTGTGGTTGGTGCTGTTTTTGATGCTGCGCTTGTTGTTGTTGTGGTGGTGGTGGTGGTGGTGGTTGTTGTTGTTGTTGTTGTTGTTGTTGTTGTTGTTGTTGTTGTTGTTGTTGTTGTGGTTGTGGTTGTGGTTGTTGTTGTTGTTGTTGTTGTTGTTGTTGTTGTTGTTGTTGTTGTTGTTGTTTTTTTTTGTCGTTTTTGTTGTTGAATCCCCATATGAAAAAACAATATGGTTCCCCCCCTCCGGTAACCATTGCATTTTTCAGTTGAAGTGCTACTCCTGGGGCTCGCACCCTGTTCTTTACAAGGGAAAGCTGGGTGTCAACAAACTGCGCCCTTGGCCCCCAGTTTACAACAATAGCGGTTCCCGCCCGATAGTTCCTCACAATTTATTCCCAAGTCGCGCTCTCGCGCGGGACGTCCTCACAAGTAATACTGGAATCGCGCTCTCTTGTGGGACGTCCTCGCCATTTTTTGGCAAGGGAATCCCTGAAAGCCCGTGGAGGCTTTTTCAGGAGCCTTTGCGAGGTTCTCAAAAGCCGCTGGAGGCTTCTCGGAAGCTTCTGGGAGCTTCTCAGGAGCTTAGGAGGCTTCTCAGGAGCCTCTGGAGGCTTCTCAGAAGCCTCTGCCTCGAAGGCCTTTGAAGCATTCTCAACAGCCTCTGGAGGCTTCTCAGAGGTCTGTGGCGCCCTGCCAGAAGCCCCCAGGAGCTACCCAGAGGCTTCCGGAAACATTCTAAGGCTTCTGAGAGGTTCCCCGAGGCGACTGAGAAGCCTTCGGAGGCGTGGAGAGGCGGGCTGCATGGTTGTAAAACGACGGATTTGATTACATGAAGGCTGCTGTGGTTGCAAAGTAATTATCATGCGGCCAATCCGGCTGGAAAGTCGCATGTGTGAAAGAAAAAGCAACGATTTCAAAGGCTTGCTGGTTGGAAAGTTCCCCTTCTGGTTGTAAAGAGCTGATCTGACAGTAAAGAGGAGGGGGGTGGTTCGAACCTCCTTTCCTTGGAAAGGGGGGGGGGGCCGGTTAGGGAGGCTGGTGTCCAGGGGGGGGCACCCCCACCCAATTCTCCAGGGGTGCTCAACGTGTCCCCCCAGCTCCGACGTGCCAGGTTGTTTTTTTCCAGGCGAACACCCACGAAACGCGTTTGCTCTCGCATGCTTGTATGTATGTATGTATGTATGTATGTATCTCTGTATGCATGTATGTATGTCTGTATGTGTGTCTGCTGTCTGTCTGTCTGTCTGCATGCATGTATGTATGTATGTATGCATGTATATAGGCATGCGTGCATTCATGTCTGGCTGTCTGTTTGTATGTATGCATGTGTGCACGTTCGTATTTCAGTATGTACATGTACATGTACGTACGTACATACGTATGCATGTATGTACGTATGCATGTATGCATGTACTTATGTCTGTATGCATGTATGCATGTATGTACGCATGCATGCATGCACTCATGTCTGTCTGTCAATCTGTACGTCTGCATGTATGTACGTACGTATGTATGTATGTACGTATGTATGTACGTACGTCTGTATATGTGTATGTACGTATGTATTTATGCATGTATGCATGCATGTATGCATGCCGGTATGCATGCAGGTATGTATACTTGTACGTATGTATGCATATATGCATGTCTGTCTGTCTGCCTGCCTGTTTGTTTGTCTGTCTTTCTGTATGTATGTATGTGTGTATGTACGCATGCATGCATCCATGTATGTATTTATGGATGCATGCAAACATGCACGCATTCATGTAAATATGTATGTAGGTATGTCTGTATGTATACATGCATGCATGCATGTACTGATCGGTGCATATATATACATATACATATACATATATGCATGTAATAATGTATGTGTGTATGCATGTTTGCATTCATGCATGTATGTATGTATGCATGATTGTATCAATGTATGCATGTATGCATGCATGTAGTTATGCATGCCTGCATGTATGTACGCATGTATGTATGCATGCATGCATGCATGCATGTATGTATGTATTTAGGTATGTGTTCGTATGCATGTGTGCATGTATGCATGTATGCGTGTATGTATGCATGTATGTATGTATGTATGTATGTATGTATGTATGTATGTATGCCTACCTGCCTGCCTGCCTGCCTGCGTGCATGCATGCATGCATATAGTCAGGTATGTATGTATGCATGTATGCATGCAGGCATACATGCATCTATGTAGGCATGCATGCATGTATGTATGCAGGTATGTATGTATGTATGTATGTAGGTAGGTAGGTATGCATGCATGCATGCATGCATGCATGTCTGTCTGTCTGTCTGTCTGTCTGTCTGTCTGTCTGTCTGTCTGTCTGTCTGTATGTATGTATGTATGTATGTATGTATGTATGTATGTATGTAGATGTGTGTATGCATGCATGTGTGTAGGTATGTATTTACGTATGTATGTATTACAGAGTTGTATACATACCGTTTGCTTGTTCTCTCGCCTTTGTCGTTTGTGCTCGCTCTCGCTCTCCTTCCCTGCAGGGAGGCGTTCAGGCTTATGTTGCTTTGGCACTCGACGGCGTCAGGGTACACCCGCCCCGTTCCTCCCACGGCTCATGAGCTTCAGTTTGAAAGACAAGCGGCACGAGTTTTGGCATCACCCATATAAGCCCCCGTTCTCATGCCCATTAGCGAATTCAGCTCTCGCCGCGCAGACCACGCGGGGGCTCTTTGGTTCACCCCCTGGCTGACCTCTGTCGTCCCGTCGCGCCTCAGAGAGGGGACTGCCTCCCTAGTGTGGCACAGGTTTCCCAGGTCTGGGGTGGTTTTGGTTTGAGGTGCGGCCCGCCCAGCATCCGGACTTCGCGTTTCGCATACCTGTAGCTATGAGATTCCTCCCTCCTCCGTCCTCCCTCCTCTCTTCTCCCCCTTCTCGCTTCCCTTCTTCCACCTCATTTCCCCCCTCTTCCAACGCACCCTCTCCTCCATGATATTCCTCCCTCCTCCGTCCTCCCTCCTATCTTCTCCCCCTTCTCGCTTCCCTTCTTCCACATCTTTTCCCCCCCTTCCGACGCACCCTCTCCTCCGTCCTCTTCTCCTTTGCCGCTCCACCCTCCTGCTCCCGTTTCCTTTCCTCTGCCGTGCTCGTGTCTCGTCCCCCTTTTGCGCCCGCTTTCTCCTCCTCCCCCTCCCCCTTCTTTCTCTCCCTCCCTTCTCCCCTCCTCTCCTCCCTCCTCCTTTTTCGCCCCCTCCTTCTCATTTTTCCTCCCTCCTCGTCTCCCCCCCTCCCCTCAGCCCTTCCCCCCCCCCGCTCCCCCCTCCACTCCCCTGTGCGAGGACGTCCAAGACCATGCTTCTGAGCCCAGACGTCCTGGGAATGCCCCCGAACGAGCTGGAGTGCATTCTTTTCCAGCTGCTGGGATCCAGACGCGCTGCCGCGCCGCGCCCATCGCCGACCTCGCGTCGTCGCCGTCGCCGTCCTTCCTCCTCATTGCCCCTCCTCCTCCTGCACCTGGTCACCTTACCCTCTTCTCTCCTTCTCCTCCTCCTCCTCCTCCTCTTCCCTTCTCCTCTTCTTCCTCCTTCTCCTTCTCCTCCTCTCTTCCTCCTCCCTCCTCCCGCCCCCCTTCTCCTACCCTCCTCCTCCTCCTCCTCCTCCTCCTCCTCCTCCTCCTCCTCCTCCTCCTCCTCCTCCTCCTCCTACCTCCTACTCCCTTCTTCCTCCCGGGCCCTCTCCCTCTCTGGAGGCGGATCAGATCTCACCCTCGCCCCTCCAGCCGAGCAGTCGCCCTGCTTGGCCGCCCCCAGGGGTGCCCTGCAGGGCGAGGTCTTCGTGGCCCGCACCCGGCTGCCTCCGTGCCTCCCTGGGCCCACCAACGGATGCACATGCAACGGCACAGCCTGAAGTCAGAAAGCCTGCACCCCTCTGAGCCTCTCCCCCTAGTGCGCTCCTGCTCCTTCTCCTCCTCCCCCTCCTCCTTCCCCTCCTCCTCCTCCTCCTCCTCCCTCCTCCTCCTCCTCCTCCTCCTTCTCCTTCTCCTCCTCCTCCTCCTCCTCCTCCTCCTCCTCCTCCTGTGCATCTCTGCTCGGTTGCGACGTTACCTAAAGCAGAGGCCTTACGGAGTGTGCACCAAACTCAGGAGAGATAGGATCTCGAATTGGACCGCTTGCCAAGTGGCGTTTAAGGATTCTGCGGATGAGAACCCTTCGGCCCTGAGGGCTACGATGGCCCGAGAGCTGGTTCGCGAGACCTCACGTGAGTTTGGCCAACTCTCCGCCCCCGTCAACTGGGACATGGAGGAGGAGGAGGAGGAGGAGGAGGAGGAGGAGGAGGAGGAGGAGGAGGAGGGCTTGACACACTCCAGCTGATTTGGGCTGGCTCTGACTGTCCTGTGCTCTCCGCTGCTGCTGCACCTCGACCTTCTCATCTACACCTCTAGTGTGCTGGATGTTGCCAATGCAGTGTCGTCGTTGCTAGAAGCTGGAGTGCCCATTCTTGCTGGTTGCTTCCAATCTCTTCCGTGAGCGAAATCCTACGTGCACGACTTTCTAGAACATGCTCAGGCAGACTGCCTGGGGTGCCCATTCTAACTTATGTGGACGACCCGACCCAAAGTGTGCAAGGGACAGCGCATCATATCTGTCGAGAGCTTGTGCCAGCTCCGCTAGACCTGTGCCGGAAGTTTTGTGACAGAGGCTGCAATATTTCGGTCAAGTCTTGCGCCGTCGCGTCGCCTCAGCGCACGCGATTGAAAAGTCCCTCGAGTACCTCTGTCGGCGTGCTCATCTCCCTCTTAAGATGGACAGCGCTGTGACAGACCTTGAAGTAGGAGCGACCGCTGGGAAGAGGAAGCCTCCGCGGAACATGCAACAGAGGGGGCAGTAGGTCACGAGGAGATCCACGAAGCTGATTTTCTTGGCTAAGTCGAACAAGCGAGTATGGATATTGTTTAAAGAGGCTGATGGTTGCGATCGGGACCTGGTCCCATCAAGTACAAGGTTACCTACCCTCTCGTGTCCAGCGTACCCGTACCCATGCTGCCAATGCGACGGGATGTTGGGCTGCATGTGTCTGTACAATTGCTCTTCTTGCCCTGGGTAATGCTGTCCGTGATGGTCCAGAGTCGAATCTTATACATGATCAGCTGCTGGAATGGAGTAGGCTCTGGAGTAATATGGATGGTAAGACCAAGTGCACGTTCTGAAAGTCTGGAATATGGTTAAAGAGAACTTCAGCAACGCGGGTTGCAATCTTTGGAGGTATGTGAGGGGCCCCGATCGGGGCTGTGGTCGCCACCGTGTTGGGGTTCGGAAGGGATCCCTGTGGGCCGGTCGCCTGGAAGCTTTCTGGAACTACCCTTCGAATTGGTCGTACATCTGTGTTTGTGTAGTTCCATGCGTGGCACGTTGTAGAACCAGCTGTTATGTCGCAGCAGCGGCAGCAGGCGGCCAAACATTTGTGTGGCACTGGCTTGCAAGGCGCTGTCGAGTTTACCAGGGATTGGAGGTTTAGGAAGCTGTTGCAGAAGGAGCATGGCAGAGAAGGGCTGGGCCTCCTTGCTAATCTTGTCAGCAGTGCGCAGTGGCCCGAAGCGAGACTCAAAACATGTGGGTACGTCAGCATGGGACTCTGCCCGAGATGTGGGGCAGCGCTCGAAGGTCTGCACCATCGCTTCTGCGAGTGCCGCTGCAACGCTGACATTGACGAGCCAGTGATCCAGCAGACGCACCATGTGCGAGATGACGCCAGCGAGGCGCATCAAGAGTCTGACAGTTCTTGGGTCCGAGGTTTGGTTTCCCGATGGTGGACCATGGATGTTTTCTCTGCTGCGGGGGAACAGGTATGGGCCTGAGGGTCCCTTCTGAAAGCCATCCAGGCTGGGGAGTCTTCTCCCGAATGTTTTCTGTCCGGGGCGGGCTTGTCTGGAGGAGAGTTTGCTCAATATTGGGTATTGCGTAGGTGTGGTCGGGCTATTCGCAATCTCCGACCAGGATCTCTAGATGCTGCTGGTGTTTTGTGTGGCGCGTTCCCAGGACCCTATTCGAGTTCCCCGCGTGCCGAACTGTACGCAGTGTCCCATCTTTTGAAGCTCACAAGGGCTGACATTATCGTCTGCAGTGAGTTCAAGGCCATTCGTCCTGCGTTCAGCAGGAGGGGAGCTGCGGTCAACGAATCCTGAATGTTTGATCTCTGGCAAGTTTCTTGGGAGTGTCTCGAAGAATGTCCTCGTGAGGTTCAGCGTATTTGGGTCAAGTCGCCCCCACAGCAGCTCCGAGAGACCCGACCCGACGCCGCCCGTCTTGCCACTCATGCGTTGGCCGACGTTCTTGCGGGCCAGGCTGCGAGCTGGGGAGCTGTGTCCAGTGATGTTGCCCAAATTCGGCGGCGAGCGAAGGGGGGAAGTGAGAAGGAGAAGGCCTTCTCAGAAGGTGGCGGGACTTCTCAGAGGCCCTCGCGCCTTCTGAGAAGTTTTTTCTGTCTTCGGGGAATGCTTAGAAAACTTCTCAGAAGGCTGGGGGACTTCCGAGCCTTCTGAGAAGGCCCGCCCCTTCTCAGTTCCCCCCCAGGGGCGCCGCCTAAAAATGTCGAAGCTGTTGGCTTTAACGGTATGCGGGTGATTGAGCGCCTGTCGGCTATTTCAAGGCATGTTGCGCTGACCTGTCCTCGGCAGCGTGAGGAGGGGCTGGGCCGAGAGGAGCATAAGCAGCGCGACAGCACGGCCAGCGATGAATCAAGAGGCAGGCGCCTCGATATGCTAACACTGTACAAGTAAAAGTTGGTACGATGTTCAAGTGCCATGTTTGTGCCACAAAATTTTCTGCCCTGAGAAAGGAAGCTTTCATTTTTTCCCGCGGGATGTTCTGGGCCGTTGGTTGTGGGTCCAAGTGCGGGCTCTGTGTCGTCGCCTGGGGCCGTAGGCCGCGCGCTAGGCCCTTATGGGGCTGTTGTTTTACACCCGCATGCGGGTGACTGTCACGACACCCAGCCTCTTGACTTGTACACGGAAGTCCTTTTTTGCAGAACCTGCGGCAATCTTTGCGTGACGCATCCTGTCAAGGTTGCCGAGCCTTGTCCTTCCATTTTGGTCACTGGGGAGGGCAAAGTGAGAAGGCTCAGCAAGGGATTGCCGTCTAAATATGGCATGTATTTCCTTTTTCTTCTGAATTGTGAAGCGGGTCTGAGCCAGCACTCAGGGAGCCCATTTGCGGAAAGGTCGCAAGGTCTTCCCCCTCCTCCTCCTCTTCCTCTTCCTCCTCCTCCTCCTCCTCCTCCTCCTCCTCCTCATCCCTCCTCCTCCCCCCTTCTCTCTCTTCCTCATCCCTCCTCCGCCCTCCCCGGGGAACTTGAGAGGAGGCGGTGGAGGAGGAGGAGGAGGAGGAGGAGGAGAAGGAGGAGGGCTTGGCGGCGCGTCAGATGCGCCAGGATTTAGGGTCGGCTGCTAAGAGGGCTCCCTACTTCGCAGATGGTTCAGTCGCATTCTGTTTTCAAGTATCAGGCAGATTTTTCATCTTCTACACAAGCCTGTCTGTTTCCGTTTGTACACACTTTGTGATTCCGTTGCCTGGTTTGCCGCTCTGACCGCGCTGAGCGTCCGACAGCGCGCGCTGCGACCAAAAACTGTCGGCCATCAGGAATGCAACAAGGCCGCCCCCCTTCCAGCGTAGCCCCGTTTGGCCGAGGCGAAAGAACGGATTTTGACTGCGCGGGCATTCGCGCGTAGGTTGCCCGCGTAACGTCGCGCGCGACGACGCTGGCTTCCATGCGGTGCGCCGCGCTGGCGGCCTGCGGGCCTGCGGAAGCCGTCGCGCAAGGCTGCCGCGCGCCCGTGCGCAAGACCTCTGGCACTTCGTCGCTGATTTGCTCGCCGCCACAGGGCGGCGAGGTGGCCATGGCCAGGACCGACGGGCTACGGTAGGTTCGCGTCGTGTCGACCAGCGGCGACCCCAGCGCGGGCGTTCAACGTTGAACGCCGACGGCGGCCCAGAATCGGTCGATGTTGAACGATCGGACGTTGCGGAGACGGCCGATCGTTCAAGGTTGAACGATCCAGCGCGGTGTCAGGAACCAACGCCAGGGTCGACACGGCACGGACCTGCAGTACGTTGGCATGCGCGCGCGGCGAATGCTGGAACGGTCGCCCGCAAGCGGTCCAGAGGTGAATCATGTCCATCTTTTGCAGCCGTGATGGGGCGAGAGGCAGATCCGCCGGACACGTGCTTCGCAATACCGGACGTCCGTGAGGATGTCATGTCTTGGGCCTGCAGTTTCATTGCCCTGGTGTGCTGCTACAGATGGTTAGAATGCCACGACTCCAGGTTTTTGGCCTGTTGGGTTGCCGTCGCGCTGCTGAGCCGAGAAGGCACAGATGAAAGGAAGATGTGTCGCTCACGAGTCGTGCAAACAGCTGAACGGCGAAGGACG